GGTTTCAGATGTAAATTTAAAGCATCATTGGTACCGTTAATATTATTCGAAATACGGGCAAACAGTATAAAGGAAATAAGTCATTATTTATACGCTTGAATGCATACTCGCATATTTTTGTACGAAATGCTCACCGTACAAAGTAGTATATTCGTTGTTATTTCTTTCTGGAGCGCCTCCAACACCTCTCATCTTCAATCTCGTGTTCACAACCCACAAGGGTGTCGTGGTGAGAACGTTGATAACACCTGATATAAACATATATAGATATATAGAGTCCCAAGAGTTTTCACCAATGCTATACACGTAGTAAGAATCTTCGGCTAAATCGAAGTCTACTTTTCCCTAAGGAAAGTATGAATATCTAAATGTTTGATTTTTTTCAAACTACAAATTTTTAATATATGTGATTAATTTTTTTTCAATATTATTAATATTATATATTGTTGTTACTAAATATTTCTTTGATTATAAAATTTTTTAAAGTAAACTACAGTTCAAATAATTTTATTATTTACTTTAGTAAATTTATCTTTTCTCTTTTTTATTCTTACTTTTTTTTTATCGAAAAAAAATTGATTTTACGACGTGAATATAAATACGACGTGACATAAATTTGAGTTTTGAGCTAATATACAAATAAGAAACGGTACCAGCGATCGAAGCGATAAGCAAGTCACTGCCAGCTGTCTGGTTCCTTCTGCTTCTCAGCTCCTTTAAGCCATGGAATGTGTAGAAATAAACGAAGTTACTCGCGCATAGACTCTGCAGAACGGGAACGATACCTCTATACAATGTGTACCTTAAAGAAATATATGACAAATCAAGCTATAATAATCACATGTGTATTTTGAAATTATAACAATACGAAGTGAATAGTTTTTTCTCATGTGTTTATGCTAATATTTATCTTTAATGTGCAAAACTCGTTTTTCAGCACGTTTGCTGTACTTTGAACAATATTCATTTATTCAAGATAAAAACATGTCACTCGTTAAAATACATTTGCATATTATACATACGGTCCTTCTTTCGCAATGAGTTCTCGTATGGTTGCTAATGTATTTTTCGATTGCCGTCCTTCTTCCACTGTAAATAGAAGAATAGATCAATATTTATGTAAAAAGAATGGTGAAAATGAGTAATCATTTGTGTGATATGCAAACACAGTACTAACACAGTACTAACAGAGTTTCAACAGTATTATATATTCTTATTTTCCGGTGTAATGTTTTTAAATATTACAAAATCAAATTATTGTCATTATTATTTCAAATATTTATAGATATAATATTAGACATATGATACATGTATATCATTGTGTTTAAATATAATACATGTTAATATTAGAAATAATAATAATATTTTTATAGCATTTATAACGCAATCAAAATTATTAATTACATTTTTATACACTTTAATAGTACGAATATTGATGATTAAAAGTAATAATAAAATGCAGCGTGCATTCAGCATATTATCGATCCGAGCATTAATGGTAACGAAGGCATAACAATAAAGGCTTGGTATCGTTCGAGAGTGACTCGGCGTTTAATGAAATTAAAAGATTGCTCATCGATGTTTCACTTCGATGCATTGCAGAGAAAACGAGCGCATAATTGTTTTGTCATATATTCGATATATATACATATAGCTTACACTGTAAACGACTTCTTACGGTGTCTAAGGGATAAAAGGCTGCCATTGCGACAACGCTACCCTGAAATGTCGAAATGTGAAAGTTATTCCTCTCAGTAAGAAGGCATATGTGTAAAATTTCCGACATTATGAAATATACTCACCGCAGCACCCGATATCGCGTGCACTAGCGTGTCATACGTAAACAGGCTTCTGTTGTGTCCGCTGCCACCCATTTTTCTGACGTTCCGAATGCGAACTAGTAATGCTATAAATTGCAGTAGAAATCTAATGAGTCACTTGCAAAAATCACAGCGAGTAATGTTAATCTGGATAGCATGACGCAATTTTTTATTGTGGAATGTTTCGATCGATCGATAACGTTTGCAAAATAGTTTACTAACAATAAGAGACAATCTATGAATGCCTTATAGGAAAATGAATGAAGCAAACACATTGAAAGAAATATTCTTATAAAATTAAATATTTAATTTTTCAAATCAAGGATTTTTTTTTAATATTTTTATTTTCTTGTAATATATTGATATCATTTTTTGCTAAATATAAAATATAGAGTATTAATTTCATAAGAGAGATTATTTATTTCAATATATATCAATTATGATATATTGTTCTTTATAATAAAAAGGTTAAACAGAAAAAAAATTGCAAGCAAAAATTTCACAATGCTTCAATTGTTTTAATTTAATTTAAGTTTTCAATAAAATCAATTTTTGTTTCTAAAGAATATTCTGAAAACTATAATACTAAAAGTATATCAATTTACCTCTAATTTAATTATTTTCTGCAGCGCAGATATTTTTCTCGTAACAAACTAATTTATCAATCGACTTCATAGATTTGCCACAAATTAAATTAAGTCACAATGAAAAATCAAGACCAAGGCAACCTCGTTTGATTTATTCGTTTCATCGTTCTCACAATTTACTAGTTTTGCGTGAAATCACTTACGCAAAATATTCGTTGCGCGAGTGTTACCGGCGAGCGTTTATCTCTCGCAAGTGTGTACGGCACGACGAACGTACTGAGACTGTCGTACGAGCATTCCGTGGTGAGGGCACTTACGTAAGAGGAAGCCCATGACACGCGCAGTCAGTTGGCCTTCAACGATTCCCGCGCAGCTCATACTAACCGTTGAGCAATGACATACGACATACGTATGTTGAAAAAAATATGGAAATAATATCGCGTTTTCACTAACCTTTATTGCACCTTCATGTTGATCCACTCCCAACGATGTACGACCGGTGTATTTCGACGTGGCAAACAGACGCACGCAAATGGTCAATACGCTTGCGCTCTCAACGCGTGTGGCTAGAAACGTCTGAAGCGAAAAGGTCGATGTAGGTAACGGTACATGCGCATTGGCAAGGGGATGATCGTTGGTGGTTAGTAATTGATCCATCTGCGTTTCGAAATGAAAGCAAAAAGTAAAACGCGATTTCGAAATGCAAAAATTGTATGAAAATATACATTGTTTTTTGGAAAGGTACTAGCGTTTTGTTTTTTTTTTTTTTTTTTTTTTTTTTTTTTTTTTTTTTTTTTTTTTTTTTTTTTTTTTTTTTTTTTTTTTTTTTACATTCCGCGAAAATATAAATTATTTTTTGGAGACGCGATGCTCTATTTCATACAAATATAGAACTAACATTAATTTTAAATTTTATATTTTAATGTAATCTATGGTCTTACGAGATACATTTAAAATTTTTTTATTTTTTTCGAAAAATATTTTTTAAAAAAACGTTAAATGTAATTTTTGAACATTCAAATTATATGCGCACGTATAATACGTTTTTTTAAAATGCTTGTTTAAAAGTTGATGTTTTCTTTAGATATAATACGTTCATGCATACTTAAACTATAAATACATTTTCAATTTGAATTTTGTTTATTTTATCTTTTTTTAACTCGAATAGAACAGAAAAATAGTTTATGTTAATTTAAAGCTAAGTCATGTCAATCATCATTTTTTAAAGAATTAATAATTATTAGTATGCCACTTATAAATGTAAATTACGATCGCGATTAGCATTTTCTTTGTATGTTGTGTTTTTATAACGAAATTTTTCTAACTAAAAATAATTTGATTCAAGTTATTAAAAATAATTTGTCATCGTAAGCAATTATTACTTTGCACCTGAGCAATATTTCCAGTTTTAATATCAGTTTCTTTCGTTAGAGCAATCGTGGAAGAAAAATAACCGCGCGTAAAAATACGAAATCAAATTTTAAAACCAATATTATTTTTATCGTACGCGACAAAAGCGTAAACTTTATGACGTATAAAGATCTCTGTGTGTCGCACAAATGTGTCCGGAATTTTCCAAGTTCTCGTCAGAATTTAATTAAACATTCCACGCCTGTGGAACGTGCACGTTATATGTGTATACTCGCACTTTTCTCTGGAACCGAAACTGCTGTCAATGCATGTGGCGATAACTCTTTTCCAAATATAAAAACTTATTGAACTTATCAAAGTTAAATAATTATTGACAATCTTTTGCAAGAAGATGCAAAATACGGAGAGAAAAAAATATAACTATGCTATCGCAGCAAAACTGTCACTGCTGTTATTTGATGTGAAAGGGATCGAATTTCAACTATATAATATAACTAATTATTTGATATAGTATTACGTACAGTATTATCGTATTACGATAAAATAATTTTGTTCAATAAATTTGTTTATAAAAATACAAAAATTTAATCTGATACCGAAACAAAATAGTATATTTCTAGCCAATGTATTCTGCTAATATAGGTGGAATAATAGTGAATTTATTATAGCAAAGTAATTTGTAGATGTGGAAAAATTATTTTTAGCAAACATAATTATTTTTAATAAATTTATTTGCTGTTTATATAATAAACGTTTTCTCTACTTAAACAGATCAGAATCCAATTAAATAAAATTTGATTCTGTAGCAAATAATAATTAAAGTAAAATAAATAGACATAAATAAATGAGATAAAAAAAATAAACATAAATTATACTACCAATAAACTCTAAATTAATTTGATTGCATAATTGACAAGTTTATTTTTTTTATCTAATAAATTGCATGAATATATGACAAAAATCAATAAAGTATTCCGTGAGTAATTCGTAAATAATGACATTTTGATATATATTAGATATAGTAAAATATAATTACAATTTTTTAAATATTATGCTGGAATAAGCTGTGTACAAAGTGTTTATTAGAGTTTAATAGAAAGTATATTAAAAGCGGGAATTTGCTTAACTCTAAGAAGTTAATAATTAAAATCATGTAAAGTAAAGTTACGTGTTATTAAATATTTCATTAAGCTAAAAGAAGATCTTGTTATACTTTGAAGCCGTATTTTTAGTACGGCTATCTCGATATACTATTTCTATACTGCTTTCAATCGAACAACGAAAACTCATTCACGTCTCTTCATCGTCTAGTTTGATTGAACTCGCGCTTGTATTAGCTTTTGGGTAACAAAGAGCTTTTCTAGAGCTTTTAATCTTTATAAATGAAAAGATACGTGATTCTTTTTATTGATAACATAAAGAAGCTAGAAAAATACAAAAAATCAATATTAATTACGATTATAAATTTGAAGATTTCTCCATATCAATTGTATTTATTATATGTCAATAGTGTCTTTCTAAAAAAATGTCATTATTTCAATTACGGTCAAATACGATTCGTATCTTCCACTAAAATTATTTTAATTTGCAATGAGTATTTCTCGAAAATTTAATAGGTGTGCGCACAAGCTGGTATTATATTCATCTCATTATTGCGACTATTTTTATTTCGCTATATCTCAGCGATTAATATCTGAGAATATTCAACTAATGAGTTATCGATCAAACCAATAAGATAGAGTAGTCGTTCGCCTAAGGCGATAATCGACAAATCGTAGCTCACGGCGCTAACGGTGAAAATCTGGTTTCAATCTCTCACTCGCGATCGCAGCAAACGACTTCTCGCTTCGCTGATTAAAGCGTCGTCGTGATCGCGCGAGAAACACTCGGGAACACGGATATTTTGGTACCCGCTTTGTGTTTCTTGTGGGCACACCGGGATATAAATATGGGTTCATAGAATTATGTGAGAATATGGAGAAAATGTTGTTTATTCAATACAAAATGCGAGCATAATGGCGCATGGTCGCGATTAATTTTTTTTCTTTTTTTTATCTGCGAAATATAGCTTTGCCCGGTGAAGCTTTGCGCTTGTTTTTGGTTAGAGTCGACTTATACGAGCCGTCTAATTGGTCAAATCGTCGATTGTATCTTATTGTTAGAGTAACTATAGCCAAATCTATGGGAAGAGAAAGGATGTTTATTTTGGACAGTCGCAAAGAGAGATCTACGTATGTCTATAATATCCTCTCGATCCATCGATTGAAATGCATTTGTCAAATGAGACATGTGTAAAAAAATATATTTTTTTAAACTAAGGAATAAATTTTACAAAATTTCAACAAATTAGTATTCCTTTAATAGTTTCTATTTATCGCATATATCTATTCTTTTTCCAGCTGAAGTGTAACAAAAAGAAAATGTATAGGCTTCTCCACAAATTAATTATCTGTTGTTGCTGGAGTATGAATATGAATCTTTCGGGTTTGATATTTGTACAAATTGTGTTTTTAAATGGCAAATCATTTTTTAATTATATTAAATCATACGTAAAAGATCGAGTCGCGTTCGAATGCATACGCAATCAATGGAGGAACAATTTTCATATGTTTGTCCGTTATATTTTAACAAGTTTAAGATGCATAGAAAAGGAGGTCGAGATACGGAAGTATCGATTGACTTTGTACGCATGTGGCATGTAATCCAAGTCTCGTCATTGACAATGTAGTCACGCTGATCGCGCGCGTTGAAAGTGGCGAACCGAGTACGAAGTGGTGCCGTAACGAGATTAATTCGATTTAACAGAAATCCATGGAATACGCGAGAGGGATGCGATAAAAGGAAAACGACGCTACGCAACGATCGAATATTCGTTCCTTGAATCGGGCGCTATTAGTGGAATTACAACGTTCTAGATCTTACGTGGAAGTATAAACATCGTTCCTTCGCGTGTCGGAACCCGAGTAAGGCTACGATGGGCGCAGTTAACTAATTCGGTAAAAAGCTTTTTCGCCGCGTCTCGCAATCTCATTCGACACAACGCTGACACTTCCCGACCTCTTGTCCGCAATTGCACGATTGTCGATTTCCCGTCAGGATTTTCTGTTTTAAAAATTTTAATAAAATGTTTGAAAAATTTGTACCTAATAGAAAGAGTGCTCCCTTTCGTGCGACTCGATCATCTCGTTGCTGTCGAGGAATCCTCTGATCGAATATCAAACGATCTCCGTGTTAGTCAAAGTATCAATTTCCCGTTTAGCGTTTGATCGACGACGATTAATTAACGTAACGACTCTCTCTCTCTCTCTCTCTTTTTCTCTCTCTCTTTCTCTCTCTCTCTCTCTCTCTCTCTTTCTCTTTTTCTTTCTCTCTCGCGTTCACATCTTAAGTTAATTATACGTGTTACCTTCGGGACGTTACGCTAAAGCTATATTCCATTAATTAATTAAGGCGAGTAGCGTGGTCGGTTTAAATATGACTTCTCTTTAGCGATCTTCGTTCGCGAGTACTCGCTTCACATTATCTTCATCTTTGCAGCGAAGTCTGACAATTGTAAACCTGAAAGTTTCGATCGCATAACATATATAAGGTTTCTGTCGAACAATATTAGTTATCTTTCTTTCTCTCGTCTTTTTCTCTCTCCGACAAGAAACGCTATATAAGAAAATTATTATTATAAATTATAATGATGATAAATACCAATTTTAATAAATTGAAATATACAGAGAGATAGTGCCACTCGTACATTAATCACAGTAAAATTGTAGCAAGTAGAGACAATGACACTCGTTTCCGAAGATCGCTTTTAAACACATTACCATATTTCTTTATATTTCTAGAAATTTGTCCGTGCGCGTGAAATTTATTTTGAAATATCACTGTATCGAGCAGGCCTTCCTGGATTCCGTTCTTCCTGTTCTAAGCGTGATCCTAGATCCTGGCGCGTTGTTCTCATTCCCGGCCGCGAGCGAACACGTCTTCGTTCGCATGATCATTAAGTCCGTCCTTATGCTGGGACGTCGTACGTTCGGCGCCACGACGCCGCAAGCGTCGCTCAGTCGGCGTTTTATGCTGAGAGTGGCTTTGTGCCGCGGCTGGAAACAAAAGCGTCGCTTTTTAAGGCTTTTCCGCCGATATCACGAAAGGCAATCCCCCGTTTAATCGATCGCAATGCGACTCCGAGACGACAATACTCCGTGCCATTCCGCGCTTTGTCCGTTTTAATCGGATTTTCCGCGAGAATTTCCCGTCGCAGAAGCCGTTGATTACTCTTGATGAAGTTACAATGTAATGAATTATCTTTAAACATCGTTAAACGTCGTTGTACGTACCTGCGAGGGCGGTAACATGGTTGGCGAGCCGAAAGTGAGTGGCACCTTTCGGTGATGATTCGGAGCCATCTCCAGAGGTAGACCCGCCACCACGAATAGCTGATAAAAAAGTTCATCCACGTGATAGTTTCGCTTCGCGGAAGCCTCCACAAAGATGCAGCATTCATCCTGACTAACGCAATATTGCTCGGCTTCCTCCACCGTGACCGTCCTGCAACGACGAAAGATTCGTCGCTAAGATAATTACGCGATAACGGGAGAATATTATTCGCGGGACCGAGAATCAAGAACAGAGAAACGTACTTTACGTCTTTGTCGCATTTATTTCCCACGATGACCATAGGGACCTTCAGACTGTAGTGGCTTCTCCTGCTCTTTGTGGCACTCTGGGTAGCGCTCACTTTAGTCTCGAGGATCGCCTCTCTCAGTCTGATGGCCTCCTCGAAGGACTCCCGACAGTCCATGCTGAACACCACAACGAAGAGATCTCCTGCGAAATCGTACCGAAACGTAGTCGATTTCTCAGAAACAATATTTAATCATAGATATTATATTCAGAATGTTAAATTAGGATATTTACATTGCAGATAAATGTAAATCGAATGATTCGTGTTTCCTTTAAATCTACTGAAATTGCAAGTTTGCACAACAATTTTTTTTATCGCATTTGTAATAGTTTTCAAGTTTGAGCTTCATTTGCACGCAACTACCGTGCGACACAGGCCGCAATCATTTCGAACAGGACAGGAGTCGGCGCACGCTGTTGCATACGGGCTAATTATAAACAGTCACGCGAGTCACATGCGCGACACGCGTGTTACGGATTATGAATATTTATCCTGATGGATTTATTTCCACGGCGACGGGGGTGTGGCCCGGTGTATTTATAAATTTACCCTAACGACGGTAACGGCGTAACAATTCCGGGTCTTGAGCGCGCTGTTACCGCTTGTTCCCGACAAAAAAGCGTCGCGAACAAAAGGGCGAGTAGGATCAACTGGCTGTTCTCGTAAACGAACAAAAAGCTCGTCCAATAGGAGAGTCGACGAGTCGGGCGTATAGAACGTAAGCTCGGTAATAACGTCGCTTTGCCAACATACCGCTCCACTTGGTTTTATTATCGCGTATCCTCTCGCTAGAAGATGCCGCTAAGTGTCTCATATAATAATAATGTCACCGTTAACCGTGCATTGGTGGTATAAAATCTAAAAAGATCTCATTTTTGTACCGTTATCAAAAATTTACTATCATTATTACATTATTACGATTTCATTGATTATAATCATTATAATTATTAATAATTGTGCATTATTATGCATTATTATGCATTATTAATTTCATTATTTTCATTTATTTCATATCCGTTCAATATCTGATTTTATGGCAAACTGTGCATGGATCTCGAATTCTACGAGTTATAAACGAGAGAGAGAGAGAGAGAGAGAGAGAGAAATAAGAGTTTTCTATTAAGATAAATCTATTACATAATTGGGTCACGAAATTGCTATTACAGAGTTAAAAATCGTATAATCTTTAATTTAATTTCACGAGAAATGATTTGTCTTAAAACTCGACACGTAACAAAATTTATTTCTTCTACAAATACAATTTCCGAATTGCAAAGATAATCAATTTTATTTATCTGGTGATCCATTTAACTGTGCTTTTCTTACATATTGCTTCTTCTTGTTCGCGCTCATCTTATTCCTTCTTAGGTTTGACCTCCATATTACAATAATCTTGTTGCTTCGTGACTACCATGTAGAGCGTTGCAAGATATTTTATCCCCGCGAAACGCGCCAGCAAGCCCGATATTGTCCTCGTCGCGAGATGAAAATATATGTGTGCCAGCCATTATGCTGCATAAAGTTCGTGTCTTTGGTGTCGAAAGGAATTCTCTCTTCTCGCAATAGCCGGAGCCTCGTCCGGAGGCTCATTGTCTTCGAATCGGGGTCATATCGCGTTCGTGTTCAGGCGTATTCCGACAACAGATTCGCGGAACGCAGAAACCTTTTTTTACGCCCTTGACGCATAAATCGGTCTTAAACCTGCGAATGGCTGTGTTTGCGAGAAAGTGACGTCGTTTGTTCGCACATACAATTATTGCGCCTGTATTCCCAAAGTTTTTCGCTGCGTAAAAAACACAGCTTTATTTATAACTTTATACAGCTATTTCAAATACTGAGAGAATTGAAAAGCGCAACTATAATCCATACTATTTATAATTGATGCGCAAGAAAAAAGTTACATTTGACGCGAACATGACTTATTGATATATTATCATTCTATGCGCATCTTGCACGAAATGCAGTCGGTCGATCTATGAATTATTAAGAGATCTCCGGTGGATCTGGAGAAAAAAGCAAACGTAAAATCATGAATGCACGGAATTTCTAATGGCACGACCGTGGGACGGAATACAAAGCTAAACACGCCACGATGAAATTCCCATCAACGCTGCTTTTCTTGATTTCCGCACTCACGGTCGGCAATTTAAAAATTCTTCGGATTTACGCGTCTAATTTTGCCGCGCGCTCCTACGTGAGGTCACCTCGCTTACGACACGCGACGATACATTACCGTTTCTAGCCGTATGTAGAACGATAACTCGCGAGAAACGAATATCGGTTCTATCCAATGCAATTTGTACAACTTTGCTCACAGCAAGCGAATTGAAGGTACTTGAACCCCAGGGGCAAACAGCTGCCACCGAAAATTTTAAATTATAAAAATTTTTTGGGTACGTTGTGAATTTTTTGCATAATACATTACAGCAATAAAAAAATATGAAACATGAAATATTTTCACTGCTATTTTTTACTTCTGTTATAACAATAAATTTTTGTTCACGGTCTTTGGACAATATAATAAAATCAACAAAACGTTCGTGAAATAATATAAATAGTTTTATACAATGTTGCAACTTATCGAATTTTTATAAAAACATCAGTTTTTTTATATTTCAATGCTCGAGATAAGCGCCTGTGCAATAATTCGTCATTGTCTTAATGGATAATGTCGTTTTGGGAATTGCGCGCTATGCATAGATCGCAACTTGGATTATATATCACATCGGTCTATCTGACGTGTAAGCATGTATTATATACATCCAAACGTAAATATGTATTTTCAGTTGGTTGGGGGGTCCCCGTCTTCTATCTTGACAAGCACGATACTGCAATTGTCGCGCGTCCAACAGTATGGCACGATATCAGGTTATCAGGTGGCAATGCTTGATGTGACGAGGGACAAGGGACATTTACGTACAAAATCAGCAAGGCACAAATAGTCTTGTGCGACGCGGAAATTACCGAGTAAAAAAAGAAGAGGGAGAGTGGTTCGAATTGGGAGTTATCGAGCGAACGTATCCTCTACACGTCCTTCCTCACATTTTGCGCAAACAGAACGTCCTTCGATACTGTCGGCCACTTATCACCGTCTTAACCCTCATCTCTCAACTCTCGACTCGTTGAACATCCCTCCTTAGCTTAACACATTTGTGATGATAACTGGCGCTACAGGGCGGACGTTTCTCATTTATATATAGATGAAATGCAATCAATTATATATTTAGACAGTTAAATGTACTGTGTTTAGAGATTCAATTAAACAATAAGCACGTTTGAACAACTTTCATTATTAGAGCAGTTTAGCTTATATATTCTATTATTACTAATTTGAAAGAAAGTTGAAAACAAAAAGAAATATAAAAACTAGTGCGATATTATAATTTAAAATATATTGCAATTGAATCTTTTAAGAAAATTCTTCTGATAGAAGTTTGCATGCAGGGAAAAAATGACAATAAATAAAATAATAAAGCGACTGTTTTGACATTTGTGGATTCTAATTTGCGCTAAATTCTTAATTCGTCAGAGATTGCATTCTTTTCTGTAATGTTAGATATTTGATTAGGTTTCACAAAGTTAATCGAAATCTGGATGATATTTGTATCATGCAGCCTTGTATTTAGATTTTGTTGAAATTCCGATAACAACCGAGACAGTTGATATCACCCCAGGCAGCCTTTTCTCTCGAACTCTTTCCGTATGCACGGCATAGCGAAGTGTCGTTGTCGAGGATATGAGATTTTCTAAAACTTTCAGAGCGTGAGTTTGACAAAAAAACCTGGTGTTTTTTTTGTATGGCTACAGGCATTTTCTTGCTACATCGAAGAACGAAAGTTTCTTTGATCATCAAGGGCAGATTAAAATACGATGGTAAAATCTTTATAAATGACGCCGTAAATATACCAGCCGTGTTTTCTAAATGCTTCAAGATTTACGAAACAGTGCACACAGTAAAAACATGTCTGAGTCTTTCCGCTCTTTCATCTATCGCAGTCTGGCGTATACTCATACAAAATGCATTGCGGTGCATTTGCACCGCGCCGCTCGCATGCAATTTTTCATTCGCTCGTACAAGAATTAAATATCCATTAATTTCTCCCCATTCAATATCCGCCACGATAAAAGCAAAATGTCGCTATCCAACGTTAAATTTTAATATCGGCAGAAATACTTTCAAATATTTTGCGGCGCCTTGAGTGCGACGTTATTTCGAAAAAGAGCAGCGCATTGCTCCAGAGATGTAAGTCGATGGACTTACCCGTCAGGAAGGACAATCGTCGCATCGCCGGAAACGGATGGTTTCCGCTTGTATCCAAGAGATCAAGCTGGTGAACCTCGCCTCTGATCCTATAAAGTTTCCTGTGAAAATCTTCTATCGTTGGCGTGTAGCTCTCCTCGAATTTGTTGGACAGAAATCTGAAAGCGACAGCGATTTTACTCGCATAAGCGCTTCGTTATTTTGTCTCTATTTTTCTCTATAATTCTCTATAATTCTTCGTTTATCGGTTTATACCTTTTGAACTTTAAATTTATATCCACTTTTCTATTTCTGTAAACTTTTCATATTATCCAATCGATTAATAATATTATATAATCTAATATATAATTTGCAATCTAATTCTATTTGTTACTATAATTAATATAAACCTGTATTATTATAAAGCTTTAGTTATATAGCTATAGTTCTATTTTGAACGCTGTTGTAATGTAGATATATTTATCTTTTACAGATAAAATGCATGCGCGCGCGTTGTTAATTGCGGAAGTGTTGATTTCGGGAGTGACGTGATAGTTTCGTGCGATTTTTATGTTCAAACACATACGTGAGCAATGCGTGTGTTATCATATTCGGGCACACGCACGAACAGTGCCCGTGTTATCGTAACGCGAACGCGAATGAGTATCATAAAAAACCACTGAGAAGGAGTGACCTAGGGGATATCGGGCGACGTTGGAGCAGTATTGTGGTAAGTAATTTATTGCAAAAATGCAAACTTTTTTAGTCACCTTAATATGAGGATATGGAGCTGTTTTTCGTAGATAACTCCGAAAAAAGTATTCAGCAGTAGCGAGTATGAACACATCCGTATTATTTAGACGATAAATTAATGTGATTTAGAAACTTACAAATTAAAATTTATAAATTTCTAAATCACATTAAATAGTATTCGATACCTTTTGAACTTTTCATTAAATCCGATATAATTTTCCTCGTATTTTCAGATTAAAAACATTAAATGATACACAAATTGCTGGATACTTGAGAAAAAAAAATTATGACACATTAATTGTTTATTAATGTACTACCTCGTAATTTTATTAAATTATTTGCGTTTTAAACACTGCAATTAAACAATCTATTTTATAAAATTAAAGCAATTAATTTTTTTATTTGATTATGTAAACGTATTTTCTGAAGCAAATGCGGGTTTAATGAATACAGAGTTAATTATAACACCGAGTATTTAAAAAGTCACGTTCATGGACGACGTTAAACGTCTGCTTCGTTTTTTGAAATGGCTCATTAGCGGTAGCAACACATGTAAAAAAATTTGCTTCGCATGCATGAAGCTGATAGTTAAACGCCGTATGAGAGCTTGCGTAATTGCGTAATTCAGAATAGCCTATATAACTTTGGACTTTGAGCCGCATATTTTCGACGTTTTGCGCAGAATTGCTACGTTCGTCAATGTACAGAATCGGCCAGCAACGAAAAATTTTGTTGTCCTCTTAATAATTGAAAACTGCTCCTTTGTCTCGATGAGAAAAGAATTATAATTAGCTTGCAGTTTTAACAGCCCGATCCAATCATTCAAAAGGATTAGCTTTTGTTCTATCAGGGACACATGGTGGTTTTTCGATATCGTATTGTACGATAGCAGTGGTCGTGCAGCAATAGCAAACACAATAATGTGGCGCGTAGTAGTGAGTTGCCAACACAGTTCAAAGATTAATTGAATTACATTGTTTCACACTATTAGTAATCGATCTGCGAAAGGGAGCACGACGAACGGAATGTGGAGGGCTGAACGCAGAAAAGCGTATAGGGAATACCAAACGTATAGAATGCACGGCGGAATCAAATTGGCCAAATTCTAGCAATAGGCATTTAGAGAAAATATTTTTAAAGCAAACAAAGATGAAGAAATTAAATAGAATAAAATTACATAACTAAATTAGAAAATATAAATTTATAAAACGTTTCTATATTTATAAATATATAGATTTATAAAATATCTGTATATTTTATAAAATTACGTTTGATAAAAATAATAATAATAAGACAAGAAATAAAAGTGACAGAGCGACTAAAGCGAGAAAAGAGCGCTTTTGTAAGCTGAACATTACGATTTGTCTATTTCATGTGTTTACCGTGCTACAATGGCGGTTTTTCCAACACGGGCACTGCCGAGCATAACAAGGCGATAGCAGTTACGCGGCGGCGGCTTGCAGGCGTCCTCCTGCGACGAGGTGGACGCGGGGCTCGGGCTGACAGGCATAGCGAGCATTCCATCCTCCGGGCCCGAGGGACCCTGACCCTCCACCAGCTCCGGCTCCGCTTTCCCTCCCCGCCGACCGCGAGCGTTAAGCCGATGCTCGGCGGGCTCGTCGGCTGCACTTCCGCTTCTGCAGAGCCTCTGCACGCAGCACAAAAGTCGGCCGCACGCCTCCAGCTACGCAAATGAGAATTATTCATCAGGGGATGCGGCATTAACCCTTTGACCCCCTTATTATTTCTCATATATGTTAAATTTCAAAGTCCTTGTATAATTTAATCAGTCAAGCTGAGACGGAAACTGGTATAAAAATAATGTATATTTCACGTAACATATCGTCGCGCAAAAATATAGTTATTTTGCTGCGTTCTAAATTTCTAAAATAATTAGAAAATATCTTATTCTTTTGATACAAATACCCAGATAGCAAAATGTTAACAATGTTGGCAGATTGACAGCAAATTTAATCAAATTTTGTTAAATTTGCTGTCAATCTGCCAACATTGCTAACATTTTGTTTACTGGGCTAGGAACAAAGCAACAATAATGTCGAAATAATATTTCAATGATGAAACGGGTTAGTGTTGCTTGCATTTCTGGTTTTCAGTATAAATTTGGATCGCTTGTTTACGTTTTATATAGAATTTCAATAGTGTGCAATTCTCTTTTACGTGAAATTACACAGAAAATCCACAGATTTTTAGAAAATCCACAGATTTCACTAAATTTAAGAACTAAAGTCATTAATAGATAAAGTTATTAATTTTTATTTCTTACTTTTTTTATTATTATTTCCATCAAACGTAATTTTACACATATAATATTGTTATAAATTTATTTCTCTTAAATGTAGTTACGCCATGCAGTATGTCATGTGCTTTGTGCATGTTTCGCGAAATCCGACAAACAATCGTATTTACAGTACTTTTCCGAGCTTGAAAATTTTCCAATAAATAAAAGGATTACGATCGTGTCCAGGCTTGCAGACGATAGTGTATCCCTCCCCAAGGAATCGTGAAATGTAGAAAGAATGAGATGTTCGAAATCCAAGCATGAATGCATGAAGTCCGATTGAATTTTCTTGGATTGATTCGTGGTGGAAAATTTCGCCAGAAATACTTTTATTAAAGCGGGAAGGGAAAATAAAGAAAACAGACGAGCATTCCGAAAGCCTCTCGAGAATGTTCTCGAATATTTCCCTTGTTTTCTGTCGAATGTTAGAATATTTGGAAGTTGTTTGTAGAAACAATATTGGAAAAATCCCAT